GGTTGGGAAGGGGGGCAAGAGGTGGGGCGGGGGCGTGGAAGGGGTGGGGACCGCTTTTCTGCGCGCAGAGGATCTGCTTGTGGGGGCGGGGAAGGGAAAGTCTCTGATGAACAGAGATTTGGGCCCGGGGCCCGAGGGACCCTCAGATTGTCAATACGAGATGAATGTATGTTGGGCGAGTGAAGGAGGGGACACTTAGAAACCCCAAGATCGCGACGTCCGCTTCCCTCCCGATCTTTTCAGCAGAACCGTTTTCCAAGTTCATCGCTCATCATGTGCGACTGCCCATCCAAGCCCAGCCGGGCTCAACTCCAAGCGACCCGCAAGTTCACTCTCATTTTCCTCCTCCTCTTCCTCTGACAGCGCTGTACGATCTACCTACAAAGCACTTGCATCTACATTGATTCGTTTCATTTTACTACAATATCTGTGACTTAAATGTTATTGTCTCCGTTTTGCAGAACTTGAAGCTGAAGGGCAGATATCAAGGGACCCCAAATCACCAGACTGGTAAGTAGAAATGGACTCAAAATCCTTGGGTAGAATCCCCAGCCCTCCGTATTCCAGCCATCACCACCACTCTCCCCGACCCCCGTACCTCACAAGATGTATCTGCTGTTTTTCAGTCTTGAGAGTCCCAGGCATGATTTTATTTTTTAGTAACAAGACGCATAAGGTGGAGGAACCTGCCCCAACGCGTTGTTATCGTCTAGGAAACCCTGCCGTTTTAGATTGTGTATTGAAGCGCTCCCGAAGGCAGAATGCTAAGTCAGCACAATAGTCCAAAGTATAAAACGACAAAACAGCACCCAGAATTATCATGTCCCATGCCAACCAAAAATTAAACACCCTGCCCCACAACCCCAAAGAAACAAAACAAAACTGCATGAGGTCTCATCGTTTTCTAAATGGAAGGGCCTTTGCAATACGTGGTCTGGGGATGTGTACTTCATTTTGGAGGCGGACACAATAGAGAGCTACTGAGCGCCTGCTGTGCAGCAGTCACTAGGTTTGGCACCATGTGACTGCCCACTAAGTAATTTAAACAACAACAACAACAACAACAACCTGAAACAACCTTCCAATAATTAAAACTCTGTGAGGTTCAATACGGTTACTCATGAGTTTCACACCCGGCTTAGGAAGTTACTTATCCTTCCCTTAAAAGCCCTCGGACTCCGGAGCTGAGCCACACGAAGTCAGCCCAGGAGAGAGTAGGCAGAAGCCAGCCTCCCTCGGCCTGCTCCTCCAGCAGAACAAATGCGCCGGCTCAGCGCCTGAAGTGCCACAACAGGTGGCTGGCTGGGGCTGACTTCATCACTCAGGCATCGCTCCACCTTAGTCTCCCAGGCCATGCCTCTCTCCTGGGGGCTGGTTCACAGAAACCCTCCCACTTGCCCCCCTTTGCAGAGGTTTTGTCATTTTGTTGGGAGGGGGGCTCCTTCTGGGATCAGTTGAGCAGAAAAGTCTCTGGCTCTCAGTTGTCTCTGGGCTGGGAAAACGGAGAGTACCTGACAGCATAGCAAACTTTCCTGGAGAGCTTGAACTTGAACTTGACTCTAGGCGCACGAAGGAGGAAAGCAAAAAGAGATGGGAGAGTAAAAAGATGTAAAGGAGTGATTTCAGGCTAGCTGTTTGCATCACCTATTGATGACTTGAAGCTATCAGTATAAATACATAGTCTCACACATTAGAAGCAAGCATATAGGTCTTAAAAACTGGATTGTTTATACAGGTGCAGAACAAAGTCTTTCTTTAGAAAAGATTAATGGTGGGGAGAGCGCTAGCTTTTCTCTAAACAGTCGCAAAAACTGCACCCAGCCTCAACGCTAAGTGGGTCATGGCCAGTTTCTTTTTCTTGAAGGGACGGCCTGACCCCAACAATTCACGGTATATATTTTATAGCTCTTTCCTTTTCTCTTCTTTTCTTTCCCCTTCTTTCCTTCCTTCCTTCCTTCCTTCCTCCTTCCGTCCTCCTTCTCTCCATTCTTCTCTCCCTCCCATTGTTCTTTTTCAAGAAAGAATTATTTTCTCTATGTCTTTTTCTTTCATTTTCACTCTTCCTCCATTTCTTTCTACTTATATTTTCATTCTTTTACTTTTTATCAAGTTGCAGCCTCCTAATTAAAATTAGAAAGTGTATCTTCATGTATATTTGATATTAGTATAGCTCTGCAGTCTGCTTTACCATGTCTGTAATAGCTGACACTTGTCACCTCGTTACACTTTCATAATACTTTTACTTTTCCTTCTCTCTCACTTACAACAGCCCCATGACCCAAACGGTGCAAGTAAACTATCTCTTTTGAAAGCCCAGTTGTTTTAAGTGTTTTTGGCAAGTTACCACATATTGCAAAATAAATAATAAAGACTTTATTTTTGTATTAAAAAAAAACCACATTGCAAGCAATTCCTATCTGCCCATGTTTCACAGCCTTTTAGATTTGTAACATGAACATACAGTTGTTTATGACCTATATAAATGGTTTTGAAATTCTTTAAGATTTTTTTTTTTAAGTATGAATGTGAGGTAGGGTTAAAGTTACATTATAAAACAATACATTTAATAATGTTTTCTAATCCTGGCTATTCTGCTTATTGGCTGTATGACCTTTGGCAACATATTCTACCTGAGGCCCAGGTTCCTAATCTCTAAAATGAACTACCTCTCTTGTAAGGATGAGGAAGTATATGAACAATTGCCTGGGCCAGAGCCTGGTACATGGGAGCAGATCAATAACTGCTAGTTATTTTTATACAGTGAATTGCCTTGCCCAACATCACACAACTTGTAAGTATCAGGGCCCAGAGCTGACCCAGGTTTTGTATTCCAGGGGGCTTATTCTGAATTTTAGATGTTGCATTTGCTTTAACTGCAGGCTTCTAAGGTTTGATGTACACAGTCCCATCATCTGACGTGTTCCACAGGTCCCATTGACTGAGGTAAAATCTGTGGGACTGCATTAGAAACTTTCCCCCTCAAGTTCTCTAACCACAAAGTCACAGCATTTCTCCAAGTCTCATTTTCCCTGTTTGAAAACCAGGATAAAACCCCTAAATCAGAGCTACTGAAGGATTAAGTGAGATTATATGTGGTACATGTGAAAGGAGCACACTCAGGTGTAACACAGAAAGTGTGCTTTATATATTAAAATTTTTTACAATGAGGATTTTTTTTTTTAAGGGAGAATGAGGTGGGTTGATAATTGCAGACCACAGAAAAGGACATTTATTGCCACGCCCCCTTCCGTCTTTGTAGTAAGTACTGGGTGAGGAAGTCTGAAGTTGGGCAGGTCAGGTGGGTTTACTGTTTAGGGAGAGGAGGGGCTGCCTCTATCTTCTGTGAACACCACATCAAAACATGTAGTGGTAAGTAGGTGTTTAAGAAATCCTTTACCCAGTGACGGTATCATCTTACAAAACTACAATACGATATCATAACCAGGATATTGAAGAAGAAGAAGAAATGAAGAGTGGTGGGAATGCATTTGAATGGATAGAGCCCTACTCACATGACTTTCCTGGTGGCCTTCCCCCAAGCCTCCTGATGTTCTGAGCTGTCAGTCAGCTGAAGAAATTGCCCATACCTTTGATCTAGAAAAACAGTCTAGATCAGCACTGGCCAATATGGGTGCCACATGAGGCTGAGCACTTGAAATGTGGCTAGTCATGTATGGTATTGTAAAATAACACACTAGATATTGAAAACAATATGAATAAAAGGATATGATATCATTAATATTTTTAAAAATTATAGGTCAAACAATATTTTGGATATATTGGGTTGAACTCATGTTATTAAAATTAATTTCACCTGTTTCTTTTTACAAAGTGGCCACTGAAACTGTAGAATTACATATGTGGCTCGCATTATATTTCTATCGGATAATTCGGGGATTAACTCTGCAACTGTGCATTGAGTGTCTCCTGTTTGCTGTGGCAGGTGTTGGTGAGCCTGACTCCCGCCCACTCGGAAGGCACATTCTCGTGAGAAAAAGCAGGATAATGCAGGGAGCACACATTACATCCTGCCTCCTCTCACCTGTCCCTGCATCGCGCCTCCACCTCACCAAGTGTACCCAACCTCGTCTAATCAGCCCAGCCCCAGAACACGCAGAGAAATGCTCCTGGCGTGGATTTCTGCAGCCCTTTGTAACCCAAATCTTTAACAGGGAGAGGGTTGGTGCTTGATTCCCAGGCAGGATGGGCCACCTGCGGACCTCAGCCAGGGCTCCGTGCCCCGTTCGTGAGCCTTTTCGGAACAGCCCCTGGTATAGAATAGGATGCCCAGGCCACAGAGACAGAGGCTGCGGGTCCTGTGGAGAGCGAGTCACGTGGTGTGCTGGCCACTTCCGGGGCAGGTCACGTGGGAGCCCAGAGTAGGGCGGGCCTTTGCCCGGGCGTGCGCCCTTGGTTCTTCATCTCTGGCAAACCGGGGCTCAGGCTCTGGGGTCGTTCAGGATGTCCCCGGTCTTCCAGAATGTCCCCGTGCTCCCTGCCTGGGAGGATAATAAGGAAC